AATCATGACTTGTAGTGCGCTAGTCCCTTTTTGGTTTAGAACTTAGTCTTCTGCTTGATCACTTGAGCACGGGTTGATTCTTGGTACGATTCCCGTTGATGGCATTTTCTGTTGTGTCATTTTGTGTATTGGAATCCTATTGTAATACTCGTGCCTTGAGATCGATCCTAAATGTATAAGCTTCCTATTCTGATGTTCAATCAATGGGAATGAGGTAGTGAAAGATAATGAAGAATTGGTTTCGAATTTTATTTCATTCCGTTGTTTTCATGGTCTGCCTATAATCGTTATTAGTACCGAGGATTCTCTGCTTAGGCTGAGTAGGGCTCCTGTATCTCTTGCTTTTCCGTTTTGCATGAAGACGTCATTTTGAATGGTGTTCATCTTCTTTGATAATGTTTGCCCATTGCATTGTTCTGTACTTGAGTTTTCTTGATTACTTGCGTTATATATCCTAAGGGGTATGCTTCTTGTGTTATTTGTCTCGCTGAGTTTTGTGTCCATACTCTGTATTGGACATGAGCAAACTCGTCTTAGAGGTGCTTGTGAAAAGACCTACATGAGATTCATTTCTAAGGTTCTTTTCTCGCAGAATATCACTTGGGCCTTCAATTATTGTTTAGGTAATGAGTTCGTAGATGCAAAGGATCATGCCATTCGATTGTCCTTATCAAGGCAAGAACTGACGAATGGCTAAGATCTAAGAATTATTCAACAAAATGAATGAAATGCCCTGGCACATTTCTGTAGTCCTGTTATATTGAAAACATTCTTTCTAACGTCAATGGTATAATGGTCGTGTTTAGACTAAGAGTGGTAATTACGGATGGATGGAATAACTTGTTGGTGAAACTTGAATTCCAAAAATGTTTCATTACCATTTTATGATCTCACATCTATCTATTTCAGAATGGCCGAAGCTTCATACACTGTGGCATCTGACAGTGAAGCCGCCGGGGAGGATAAGTCATCAGCTTTTCCTGAAATTGCCATTGGAATCGACATTGGTACATCACAATGCAGTGTAGCTGTGTGGAATGGATCTGAAGTGGAGCTTTTGAAGAACATAAGAAACCAGAAGATTATGCGATCATATGTGACTTTTAAAGATGACGCCCCTTCTGGAGGAGTTAGCAGTCAACTTTCTCATGAACATGACTTGCTAACTGGAGCTACAATCTTCAACATGAAACGCTTGATTGGAAGAGTTGATACAGACCCAGTTGTCCATTCAAGTAAAAATCTCCCGTTTCTGGTGCAGACTTTGGATATTGGTGTACGTCCTTTTATGGCAGCATTAGTGAACAATATGTGGAGATCCACCACGCCAGAAGAAGTCCTCGCTATCTTTCTTGTGGAACTAAGAGTGATGGCTGAAGCTCAGCTGAAACGACCCATAAGAAATGTAGTCCTCACAGTTCCAGTTTCATTCAGTCGATTCCAGCTCACCCGGATAGAACGGGCTTGTGCTATGGCTGGCCTTCATGTTCTCCGGCTGATGCCTGAACCAACTGCTGTGGCTTTATTATATGGACAGCAGCAGCAGCAGAGTTCTCATGAGAATATGGGTAGCGGAAGCGAGAAGATTGCTTTGATTTTCAATATGGGTGCTGGTTATTGTGATGTTGCTGTGACTGCTACGGCTGGAGGAGTATCACAGATAAAGGCCTTGGCAGGAAGTACCATCGGGGGAGAAGACTTGCTTCAGAATATGATGCATTATCTGTTACCAGAATCTCAAGCTCTGTTCGATACCCGTGGTATCAAAGAAATCAAATCCATGGCCTTGCTCCGAGTTGCAACTCAGGATGCAATTCATAGGCTATCCTCTCAAACCAGTGTGCAGATTGATGTAGACTTGGGAGATGGTCTGAAGATAAACAAAGTTATAAGCCAGAGCGAGTTTGAGGAAGTGAACAAAAAGGTGTTTGACAAGTGTGAAAGCCTCATCATCCAGTGTTTGCAAGATGCCAAGGTAGAGGCTGAGGATGTAAACGATGTGATAGTCGTTGGTGGATGCTCTTATATTCCGAAGGTAAAGAATCTTGTGGTTAGCATGTTTAATGGTAAGGAACTTTACAAAGGTGTGAATCCTCTGGAAGCTGCTGTTCGTGGTGCAGCAGTTGAGGGAGCTGTGGCTTCAGGTATCAATGATCCCTTTGGGAACTTAGACTTGCTAACTATCCAAGCCACACCTCTAGCTATAGGGATCAGAGCTGATGGAAACAACTTTGTTCCTGTGATACCAAGGAATACAACAGTGCCAGCGAGGAAGGACATGGTTTTCACAACCTGTCATGATAACCAAACTGAGGCTTTGATCATTGTGTATGAAGGTGAGGAAAAGAAGGCTGAAGAGAATCATTTGTTGGGATACTTCAAAATAGTAGGAATTCCCGAAGCACCGAAAGGAGTTCCGGAGATCAATGTGTGCATGGACATAGATGCTGCAAATGTACTGAGAGTGTTAGTGGGTGTTGTGATGCCAGGATCTCGGCAGCCGGCAATTCCAGTCATGGAAGTGAGGATGCCAACTGTTGATGATGGCCATGGTTGGTGCGTTGAGGCCTTGAATAGGAAGTGTGGTAATACACAAGACTTGATTACCGTCCAGAAGAAAAGCATAAACTGATACATCATGTCTTCTTTCCCTCTTCCCCTTTTAACTGGTTTTTCAGTGTTTCAGATACATGCTTTTTAGCGTCTGATGTTTGTAAAATGGGGTTCTGTGTCTCTGATCTCACAAGTCTGTAAGTAAATATTCCATATGTGATGACATAATAAAAGCTTAACTGAGTGTGAATTTCGCAGATTCCCCATTTTCTTTGTTTAGCCCCGTGCGTCAAGTGATCCCCCCATACTCATCGGAGTTGTTGGCAGGAAAAGAGAAGATCGACCCACATCAGAGTTAACTATTTCTAACGATATCGGAGTTAATGATAGGAATGATTCAAAATTGTAAGTGTGATGGAAATGGAGGTATTCGAGGATTTAAGTGTGTGATCGTTGTACATGTATTTACAACATTTTTATAGTCGTCGTAAGAAAACAAAAGAACAGGATTTTTTTGGGATAATTTGTTCAACACCTTGATGGCGACTACTCGACACGGGAGTCAGTAGTGCTGTTGTTATTTCTTTTTCAAGAAACTATAGGATATGCGTACAGAAAATAACATCACGGTCGGTAGCATCTTAGACAGGTGATTGGAATTTATCGTTGAGTTTTATATATGGATCTAATTGGGAGTATACTCCCAGTATCATCTACGAGGATTTTTCCAGAATATTCACATGCAGGAAGCTCAACACTTCTGTAGGACTCTAGCCTACTGATTAGCCTAATAGCACTGCACTTGTAGAAAGACGTGGGCCAATAAATAGACAATGCTTTCACATGGAATAGTATTTTGGCTGCGCGCACGTTGCTAGTTTTCTCAGTTTTAATTATAAGTCAAATTTTAATTTTTTCATATTAAACTTTGTAATTTGCAGATGACTGAAACCTGTAGGTAATTAACTTACTTGTTTTTAACATAGGCGTAATTTTTCTTTTCTCCCTGTGCTTATATTTGTCATTTTTTCCCTTGATTATTGGATGGTGTTTTCGTATTAATTATTTAATATTTAATATGTGTAGGCTGTAGGCCTGTAGCCAGTTGCTTTTTTGAGTATTATGTTTAAATCATGGTAATATCTTAAAATTAATTAATACTACCTTCAATCTTTAATATAATAACTTGTTTGACTTTTAATTTGGTTTTAAATGTAAGATTCAAATCTATTTTATCTTTTATATTTATCTATTTTTTTAAAATAGTTTTTGTAATATTTACACATGTTAAATATTTATTAAATGGTAGTTTTAACTAAGGGTGTGTTTGGATGAAACCAAACCGTGGTTTGGAAAAGTGATTCTGGAGAATAGATTTTGGAGAGAATAGATTCTGTGACGAATAGATTTTGTAAAAAAGTGATTCTGAGAAGTGAGAGTGTTTGGATAGTTGTTATCAGAAGCACTTTTTATATATACAAATTACTAAAAAAAAGACATAAGTTAATATGATAATTACAGAAAAAATAGATTTTATGATATATTTTAATTTGAAGGAATAAAATTGTTAATAATATATTTTTTACCAACATAATTAATAATACATAAGATAATATAATTAATAATTAATTAATATGTATATATATTTATAAAATATAAGATTAAATATGTTTATCAAAAAATATGTTTATAAAAAAAATAACAAGATACATATCATATAGGCTCTCACACTCTCCCTTTTTTCTCCAAAAGCAAAATTTTTTTGCTTTTTCCAAAACCATGGTTTTGGTTTTTAGAGGGGGTGTTTGGGTGATTGACAACCCAAACCATGGTTTGGGTCCCCAAACCATGGTTTGGGGTGTCACCCAAACACACCCTAAAAAGAATAACATTTAATTATTACAAATAACTAATTTAATTAATTTTCTTGATTCTAAATTATAACCTGGTAGGCGGTACATAGAGCCAATGAAAACGAGTGGCGCCGTCTGATAAGGGGCCTATTTTAACATTAAAGCAATTAATAAAATTAAATATTTGTAATAATTGATATGAATTGGAGTAACTACCATATTTTAATTATGCAGCATTTATTGTACGCCCTACACATTTTAACATTAAAGCAATAATAAAATTAAATATGGGAGTAGTTAATTAGGACAATTAATTAAAATGTTTGAGAAATTTAAGGTGGCCGAGGTGAAAGTCCCCTTGAACCTCAATTTTTGCATCGTAGGAGGAGCTCTAATTTCGGTGACAATATCAGAAGCCAACACTTTGTTTGCCACTGCAAGTCTGCAGCTCATCATCATCACGTCTGCTTCCACTTATAATCTCAGCTTTATTCTCTACTACCTTTTCACACACGCACACAAACAAGAGAACAATAGTGATTAATTATAATTAATCGAAGTTGTTTAATTAGATGATCTTCAAATTAAGCAAACATGTCCTTCGTCTCTGGAATCTGGATTGCTTCACTTGCAACCACTGTCATCAGCCACTCTCCATCCGCAGCCGCGCAGGGTAGAGGTAGACTGCTCTTATTTCGGGCATCACTACGTCTGTGTCTGGTCAAAAAGAGTTACACGCGCACACATTGTGGCTGTGGATGTTGTGCATGTAGGAGCTCAGGTGGGGATCACATGTGGAAGAAACGCAGAGAATCTGCCAACGCCATGCCAAGTGGCGGATTTCCTCACGCAAAACTTGAACTAATCTATCCCTATTCTCCGTTTACTTGGCGCGGACCTTCAAGTCTTGCTAGCTTTCAGACGCTCTAACCTTGTCCTCACCGCCACCCTTCCCAACAACGATATCCCCTCCGTCGCTTCCTCCCCGTCCGCCGCCACCGCCTGGGTCGACCACCACATCGCCCCCTTTGTCATTTCCCGGAGCGGCACCATCAGATTCCGCTACATCGCCTTCGGCAACGAGCCCATCCCTGGCCCCTATGCCTCCTTGGTTGCCCCGGCCATGAGAAACCTCCATCAAGCCCTTATCTCTTTGAAGGTACCCGATGACGTGAAGGTCACAACCTCTGCATCCCCTAAATTTTTGGGGAAGTCCTTCCCTCCGTCGGTTGGTCAGTTTGAGGACAGTGTTTCAGACTTCATGAGCGATGTCACCAACTTCTTGCATTCCATTGGAGCACCACTCCAAGTAAATGTGTACCCTTATTTTGCGCTCGTGAATGATCCACGGCCCATAGATATGGAGCATGCTTTGTTTCAGGCGAATACCCCGATGGTAATTGATGGGACGTTGAAGTACTTTAACTTATTTGATGCGATGGTGGATGCTTTTGTGGCGGCGACGGCCAAGGTGGTGGGACAGCCGGGGGTGAGGATGGTGGTGTCAGAGACGGGATGGCCGGTGAAAGGGAATGAGCCCTACACTTGTGTGGATAATGCCCGGAACTATAACAGGAACTTGAAGGATCATGTTGAGAAAATTGGGGGCACCCCGAGAATGAGAGACTACTTGGAGGTTGATATATATTCCATGTTTAATGAGGACTTGGAGCCTGATTTGGTGGGAAGAAGTTTTGGGACTTTCAACAAGGACATTACTGAAATTTATCCCATTTGGCACTGAATAAAGAGATTCAATACCTCATAGGTGGAACTTTTTCATAGCAGGTGTATTCCTCCTGAAATAGAAAAATAGAAACAAGGCATCAAGTTTAAATCTCGCGTATTAAAACAAATTATAGTCTTATCTGGCTTTGACTCGAATTATTGAAGATTTAATCTGACTTTTGGAAATCTATTATTAATAATATACCACCTCAGGTCTGATTATAAGACCCTGTTTATAATCTATAAACGATATCTTATAATTAGGATCGGAGATAATACTATTTTGAGAAATCTACTTATATATGTAACTCCTCTGTTCTTGTTTTTTTTTTGGTGAACTCTTCTATTTTATTTATAAGTCGTTTTTAACATGTTTCACACAGACAAAAAAAAATCTTAAACTTTATTAACTCTCATTTAAAATTCTACAATTTTTAACTTTATCTCTATTTAATATATATTATACCTCATGTAAACAAAGTCAGCATAATAATAAATAAAAAATAAAATTATAAATCTATATAAAAAATTTTTCTTAGTATCCTATATCAAAAATATTTTTTTGTTATATGAATAATCAGAGGAGTATTTCATTAAATCTTTTTTGTATGATATTAATATTAAAAAGTTTGTATATAAATTATAAAAATAAATACAAAAAATAAATATCTAAAAAATAATCATAAAAAGATATCAAATAAATCAGAGATGTAAGTTTCAAGAGTATTATGACATTCTTTTTTGGTACAACCATCGTTGAGTTATTAATGTACGTATTCGATTGATAGGCTGTTGGCCCATAAAGTTTGTTTGCATATTGAGCCCAATAAAGACCGGGGATGGGAAAACCCCCAACTGTGGAACTATCCAATTCTCAAGACAAAATTGAAGACTCTGGTCATGAGTATTTCTGTGACCTCAAAACGATTAGTCATTTATTAGTCAAGAGATATGCTCAACAAAAGCAAAAAAAATCGATCTTTCCATTCACGCCGTCAATTAATGCTCATAAGTTTCTTAAATTTATGTTGATTGTAAATTATCATCATATATATGTGTGTACGTATATGAGCATCACACTTTCCAAAATTCTGTTTCATACCTAAGAAGAAATGGAGCCAGTATTATTTCAGAGCTTTGTACTTAATTAAGATTCCAATATATAAACCCGCAACCTGCTTTGTATACTGAATATAGTGTTACAATATGTGATTGTCTCTTTGAAGCTGATAATTAGCCAGTTTGAATTCATGTTTATAAGTATTTATAACTATGTTTTATATAAGTGGAGACAAAACTTTTCTCACTTACTTATTTTGTATTCAGTAAATTATGATTGAAAAGTTATTATATGTCATTTTAAATAGCCCAAATGTGTGTATATCAAGATCGGTGTCCTATATACACTCTGAAAGACAAATTAAATCAGCACAATGTGAAAGCTAAGTGGTGGGTGAATCCATATTTGGGAAAAACAAGAATCCATAGTCCCCTACGGGCAACATATTTCCGACTGGGAAGCCATGAATGAAGCCAAGTTTGTCGGAATGAAGATGAGGGAGGGGTTATTAGGATTGACCCTGGTGACAAGGAAAGCCCCCCCCCCCCCCCCAAGTGAAGAAAGAGCCTGCGGCTGGGGCTGGCGGCCACACTGGGTTTCCCTGTCGTTTTTCATTTGTAAGCCTCAAACACTCCAAACAGCAGCAACAGAAGCGAAGCAAAGACTTTGAGTTTCAAGCAAACGCACTCAATCCAAACACTACCTGCTCACGTAAAACGGCCAAAATACCTCAGTCTGCGTTTGTCCTCACTGCTCCTCAAACTCAAAGCCCTCCAGCTATGTACTTCATATGATGCTTACACTAACATTGATTCCTCTTACATTCTTGATTCCTTAACCTCAGTCACATGAGATACACGACACAAGCATCCCATTCCCCAATACCACTCCGTATCTTCCTCTTTTATCAAATTCTTCACTTCTCAAACCCCATACTCTCTCACTCCATTAAAATTTTGAAACACAGCCCTGGTTGACTTCTCACACAATAAATACCCGACACTTATTCTTACCAACTCTGCCATAAACTATTGACAAAATACAACAGTAGTAACAGTACAACAGTAGCTGTCCGAGTTTTCAAACTCTCTCTCTCTTTCGTTTTCCTTATATAAACCTGACAAAAGAAGTCCGACCAAGTTGGTCCCAAAGACTCTGCCTCTAACCCTTGTTTCTCACGCTCCATAATATATAGTCAAAGTTACTACAAGAACAGCAACAAATACATATAAATAATAATAACCGTATTACAAATTTCGACGCTGTCGTTTCACTTTCAACGTCTTCCTGGTATTAGTCGTCTTCTCCTCCTCCTTCTATTTCCCACCGCGCGCGCAACATTTTCAAAGGATGCTTCGCCGTTTCCATTACGCTACCTCATTTCCAGGCATCCCCCCTCGAAGCTGCGAAAGAACCAAATTAATGCAGACTGCACACCGTTTCACGCCCCGCCCAGCACGTCGTCGTCATTCTCTTTTTCTTTTTTTGGTTTTTTTTAAATTGTTGTTAGTGTTATGTAGACTCATGGATTGGCTAGTCAAATTAATCAAAATACTTGTTGTATGTACTCGGGCGCCGTTGATTGCGTTTCCGTATGCTTAGAAACGCTGCGACACCGAGACGTGGCGTCGTCTGATGTGCGGAGAGACGATGGAAATGAGGCCGCCAAGTGGGGGCCTCATCTTTGACCTATAAATCATCTCGTCGTACGGCCTCCTGTAGAACTTCAAGAACGGCGAGAAAGATTCCCGACACCTGTCCGCCTTGCTGACGTGGCCCTCCTTTCGGAAGAAGAACACGGCCGGTGAGTGCAGGAACGAGGGCCGTGGCGTCCTCCTGGGCGTCGCCACTCCTTCTTCGGCGTCACGCGCTGCGGCAGCGGAGTCGACGGGAACAGGCTCTTCCTGGTGGCCAGCCTGCCGCTGATGTCCCCGCGGGGTGCTCTGGCAACCGGCGACGCGAAGGAGAGGGACCGGGCGTTGAGCGGGGAGATCAGCGCGGGGCCCAGGTTGGTGGGTCCCAACTTGGATGCCGCCGTGTCCGTTAAGCTCAGGTACCAAGGCTTGAGGGAGTCGAAGTGGTGGGAGACGGTGAAGGAGAAGCGAGAGGAGGAGCAGGAGCCGATCTTAGCCGTTGACTTGATGGCGGAGGGATCGAATCGGAGGGAGGAGCAGGCTCTCGGGTAAGCCGCCATGTCATTGAAGTCCAGTGATTCCTCAAAGTCTAAGGACGATACTATCGTTGTCACCGTCGATAACTCCACAAATGCCCGCACTCCCTGCATTCCTCATGTTACACCATCTTTTAGACGTTTTTCTATCCTTAAACCATCAATCCATGTGTCAATAATAAAAGCAGAATAAATTTCGTAGCTTTCTTTTTCTTTTTTTTTGGGAGAAAAATTTCGTAGTTTTCTCTTTTTTTTTTTTTGGGGAAAAAAATGGTGTTTTGAGTTGTGTGTGATGGCTTTGTAACCTCAAATAATCAACAGAAAGACAAAACTACTTTTATTAGTATTCAATAAATTTAAATTTAAATGACCCCCTAACTGGTTTTCTCCCCCTATTGAATGGATTGGTGATGTGATTGGAAACCGCAAAAAATAAAAGTTCAAAAAGAAAAGAAAAGGTAATGCGCTGGGATGCATGTGCATGCGCTAGAAGTCTAGGCCGAAACAAGGAAACGACCACCGGGGGCACAAGTCATTTTCGCTGTCTTTCCCTATGAGTGGTGGCATTATCTAAATAGCAAACCCCCGAAAATCAAAGGTACTGCATTCCTATCTCCAAATTCAAACTTATTCACCTATATATATATATATAAACAATATCATAGTAACCACAACTTTTGATGATAAGATAAGAGAAAGAGGACTGGGATGGAGTCAGTGGGGGTGGCTAAATAAAGGCGTATGAAAGCAATGCATTAGTGAGAAACAGAGGAAAGCAGAGACACGCCCCAGTTACTTGAAGAGAGTAGAGAAATGAATAGGAATAGAGAATACCTTCCAGAGATAAGCGAAGAGAGAAGGAGGGTCTATGACGAAGGCCTTATAGAGCCGACCTGGGTAGTACTCTCCTACAATTTTCAGTGCTGGCAGCAGTGAGTTCATAAAAGCGGATGCCGACCTGTAAAAGCCTGCACAAAAACCCCTCTTCACAATTAATCCCCCCTCCACAATTTTGCTACCACCGGTATTTCACTACGCCTCCGCTATAAAGCAGAATAATTTATTATTTAAGGAAACATCACATTCTGTATTCATTTGAAATGGACCAATTCTGCTGCAGAATTTTTCATTAATTGTCGCTCCAATTCCCGATAATACCCCCCCTTTTTCCTTCTCTTTCAATAGGAAAGCCTATCACAGGCAGAGTCTGCGTCCCATGCGTCGTCTCTCTCCCATTTCTTTATTCTCATCATGCTCAATTCAAATGCGAGGGAAGGGCATAATAGGAATTCGAGACATGGACTTACTGGCGTCAAAAAGCATCACAAACTGTTCGACGTTTTTTGGCATGGTCGAGACGGCCACTTCCAGTGTGAACACCAGCAATCGAGTAAACCTGTACCATTTTCAAATTATATTACCAACCCATTTACTTTTGGTTCCTACCATTCCGTTTATATATGTAAATAATATACCGGAAGCAAAATGTCTGGGTTTTGAATTCTTACATTTTCTGGGAATGTAACTTCTGGTAGTCTTGCTTCATCCGGAATATCTGTTACCCCGATTTCAAACATCAACCACACTTCAGATTCCACAATAAAACCACAAAACATCACTCAGTTTTCATAAAGACCGAGGGAGGGTCGGTGAAATTACCATAACAGGTCTGGATTCATCGTCGTGACCTGCCACATATGCCAACCCGTCGGAAAGTTCCGCCGAGAACTCATCTGCTATCAAATGCTCTGTTTTCGCAATATTCAGAATCACCCAGTTATTCTCA